TTTGAACTGCTATAGACAAAAAGGTATATTTTTTAAAAAGAGTAGAAATTATATTTACCTGTTGAACACCACTATAAATTTGTAAAGAATCTCTGTAACTATGATATTGTTATAGAATTGCTATTAAAAAGGCCACAATACTATAACAGTATTTTGCTATTTCTACTATAGTTATACAAAAATTACTATTTTTAATATTTACTATAAAAATATAATAAATTAAATTAAAAAAGTTTTTTATTAAATTAGAGTTTGTTGGGCTTCTAAATAAAGTTATAAAGAAGATTTTTCTAGTTATAATAATAGTTAAATTATCAAAATTGAGCTTGTAATACTTGAAGTTAAAGATATAAATATAAGAATTTAATATAAAAAATTAATTTTTTTAAATTAAAAAAGTTGGTTCATTATTTGTATACAAAATTTCGTCTAAAATATTTTTTACTTTTTCTTAATTTATACAAAACTTTATTAAGTTAACAACCTTTTAGCTTTTAAGTATACTTGTTTAGCTCTGTTTTTATATATATCTGTAAAGTTTTAAGTCTTTATCTCTTAGGGCAGTGTTATTTATCACCTGATTTTTTTTATCAAAAGCTTACCCCCCTCCTCCCCTCTTAATATATAATTTAATCAGGTTCTCATATATAATTTTAAAATTTTTACCCCTCTTCCATCTAAAAAATTATCTGATTTTTGTCATATCATTTATCGTTCTTGAAATATTTAATTTACAAGAACAGGTGGACAAAACTCTGTCCTCTCTCCAAAGCTTTATCCTTCTTGGCAGACTGGGCTTTAAACTTGTAAAGCTCATCTTTAGCTTTAAAACAAGCTATAGTGCATCAAATTTAACCTAAAATTGATTATTTAATGATTCAAAATATTAAACTCCTCTTTTTTACTTTTAAACTTTTAAAAAGTTCTCTTTTAGTTTATTCCTATCCAAATTGTTTTTGTATAATATTCAGACCTGTATTTTAATCTGTTTATATCTGTCTATATTAATAATACAATCAAATCATTTTTTCTTTTTTAGCAATTCACTCTACAATTAATTTACACAAAATAACTACTGCATTTATTACTTATTCTACAATCAACTTAGTAACATTACCCAAATTCTGCTTAATTGTATAACTTGTGTAATATATAGTTTTGCATAATACATAACTTGTGCAATATGTGACTTGTGTAACCTTAGACTTCCTAGGTTATACAAAGTTACACAAGCTGCAATAACCAAAATAATACTCTATAAATATACACACCCTTGTAACAAGTTTTAATATATTACAGACTTATATCTTTAAATTTTTCTAAGAAATATAATATAAAAAACATATCATTTTGAAGCTTATTTTATTCTTTTCTCAATTTAGTAATTATTTCTTTATAATATCTCTTGTTTAAAAACTATTTAGAGAAAATTCAATCAATATGCCTACATCAATTAGACAAGAGCCTAATTCTTTAAATCTAGATGCTTTTTATCAAAATCATGCTGACACTTTTAGTGTTACAGCCTATAAAGATGAATTAAACAAAACTAAATCTATGCTAGCTCAATTCAAATCTACTACTTGTATCACTAAATCTCTTTGTAACTACAAAGCTACACACTTTTTTTCAGCTCCTACATCTACTGCTACTGTTAAATGCCTCTGTCAATTTTTATATATACTTTGTTTCCTTAACTAACAAACAATATAATACATCTTCTACAGCCAATTCTACTATATCTAATAGACAAATTAAAAAACTTCAATCTGCACTAGCTAACTCTACTACTACTATTTCTACCTCTCCTATTACAGCAATATATACTTATATATGTCTCAAATATTGGCAACCAATTACCTATAAAGTTATCAATAAAAATTATGAACTTCGAGATAACACACTTTTTTATAGTAATGAAGCTTATTATTCTGAGTACTTAAAAAACTTACAAGAACAAGAACAGCAGTATAAAACATCTGAAATGAAAACAGATGACAATGAAACTACTATATAGGCTGATATCTTTAATAATATTAAATTTATTTCTCAACTCTAATATCAACAAATTTTATATGAACAACAAACTAAACAAAAACAACATGAATCTAACAATAAACAAACTCAACAACAACAATTCCAATACTCCAAAAATAAATCTACTTTAGATCTTGACTGGCTTAAAACCTACCTTATTACAAACTAAATAGAAACTCATACTGAATTACAAACTACTCTATCTAAGCAATTACCAACTTTCTCTAACAACACCTCTACAACTTCTACCCTAGTAGAGAAATCAAATCTAAAACTAAAAACAGACCAGCCTTTAAAGCATCCTTCCAATATATTATTCGTGTAGTAGCTGTTAGCAAACCAATATTTCTATCTGAATTAATTCATAAAGCAAACCTAAAAGTTACACCTAATATACCTATTCCTTTCCAATTTTTTGAATCAACTCTTTGAAATCTTATTTTCAAATTTACTACTATCCTTTTTACCAAACTCAATTATATAAAAATCTTTGAATCACTCGCTATTTTTCTACCTTATACTAATTTACAAATACTTCTTGTCTGCTTTAATATTGTATGCTTGTATCTATACCTCTCCAATAATTACCAAACAATTAACTATAACAAATTTGCACAAGATCTTAACTTCACTCCAAAAAAATTCTTTATCACTTCTGAGATTACTAGTATAGATACACAAGGAGAATATTTTTTCATTAAATCTGATGCTAGATATAATACTTATATACAATTCAATTTACCTGCTTCTTTATTCTAAGAACAGTACAACATTCCTTCACTTAAAGACTCTAACACAACTTTCAACAAATGGTTTGATAAACAATTTTCAATTTATTACAAGCAATTTTCTACTAATTCCAATTCAGATAAAACTCGCTCAATGGTCTAACTTCAAATTCATAAACAATTTATCTTACATCTTACCAAACTACTACTAACATCATTTAACTTTCCTGAACCAATCTTTGCTAAAGACAGAAAATTTCACTTAACTAAATTCACCAACTATTATATACTTATATGTAAAGACCAAAACTGTACTTATAAAGATTTTAACAAAAACTATTTATACAATAAAAAGAAACTTTATCAAGATACTCTTTAACAATCCTACAATTCTTTTTTTAAAAAAACCTCAAGAAAATGAACCTATTTGGATTGAACTTAAATAAAACTCTACTATCTTCCATACTGATAACAAATATAAAGCTACTTTTGCTAAACAAATATCTACCTTGATACTAGATGAACTCGCATCTGCAACTAAAGAAAAGGTCTGTAAACTCAATAATATTAAAGCAAATAAGAAGAGATATGACTACTACTTCTATCAATATTTGGCCTCTTATCATAAAACAGCTGCTCAAAATCATAATATCACTAATTTAACCAAAGAAGAAGCAATCAACAACCTTATAACTAATCCTATTAATTTAAATTTTTTAGTACGTATTATAGTATACTATAAGAAAATCCAAACCAAAACTCTACTATTATTAGTTTTATTAATGAAACTGCCCTATCTCAAGCAGAAGAAATATTCAAACAGAAATTTAATCTTAATTTTTAACTCTTCCTTTTTAAAGATATGCTTTTTCTTTGATCTCTCTTCTTTTCAGCAAAAGGGTTCAGAACAATAAAGGAAAAATTAGTTTTTAAATCCTGCTACAATAAATTCTTATCCTACTATAACCTTCCAACTACTACATCTTCACACACTCTGTTATCATTACTTCATCTTCTTCAACAAATTAAATTTCATAAAATTTTACTGTTTTTGTTAACAAACAACTAACTGAAACACATATTTACCTTTATATAAATATATACTCCTTCTTAATCACAAACTGATTAAGCAATTTAACTATAATAAATACTTCTACTTATCTCTCAAATCTTCTAACAACTATAAATTCTTAAGTTCTAATCTGGAAAAATATCTAACATCTTACTTTTTTATTATTCCAAACCTCCCACCTAATATATTATATATATATAAACCCAAATACATCTCAATTTCTATTAAAATCACTTTACTCAACACAAATAAACTTCTATATAGGGTTCCAAACTGGTTTGAAATTTTAGACCCATGACCTGTCGGGTTAAAACTAACAACCAACCAGATATCCGAATTAAAATCAGGTGACCCAGTTAAAATCAGATGAACCAGTTATCTGAATAATTCGGATGACCCAGTTACCCGATTACTCAAATGTAACTCAGGTGACCTGAAAACCTGATTATCTGCAATTCAAAGTCCAGTTGGTTATGTTTATAAATTTGTAGCCAGAGATTGTAAACTATAATAGTCAATAAAATTTTCTGCCAAAAGAATGCTGTGATTTGATATCAGAATACAAAACCTATTGTAAAATGCCATCTATATAAGACAATTTCTGGCTCAACTTTTTATCAATCGAAAATTTTACATAATTTAGACAAATTTTTATTGATGCACAATGTATATACAATAATAAAAAAAGTTTGCCAATTCATAACTTCAATTCTTATTTATTATTTTATATTGATAGTTACAATAAAATGATGGCATTCCTATATAAATTTTGTTCTGCAATTCTATACGTACTACAATCAATATTGTAGAAATAGCTTTTTTTCTTCTACAACACCATCTAATCTTAATTTCAGATTCTTTACTCAATTAAGTATATTTGAAGCAATGCATACTGTATTAGTATTATATACGTAATGGTAAGTATTATTTAATGTTGTTGATATGTATTATAATTCGTCTGGTTTGAAAATAAAAAAATGCTGCATATTACGTTTAAGGAACATCATTTGCTCAACCATATCTGGATGAAGCTTGTTACATAATGCCATAATATGTAATCCTGCATCTGAAAATAATCGCTCTAAGGAGATCGATATTGCTGGTACTGACAAATATTTTCGAGCTAGATTTGATAACACAGGATATACACCACATCTATCTTTTCACCATGCTAGTGGATTGCAGCCCTTTTTCTCAACAGGTTCATGGAGGTAACGGTCAACTTCAGTTTCATTGTAAATTTTATCATCAGGTTCTTCACTACTATATAAAGCCACAATCAAGTTATTGGTTGTTGCAGGTTCGAGAGTTGACATAATAGGTGACTTGTCAAGCTCAACTGAGGGCTGGTAGTATTTTTCCTCATTGCAAAGTGTTCGCACTCTATTAGTTATAGTTTTTTTTATTGATTCATCACCAAGAAACTTTAAATACTTAATTCTTGGATCTAAGAATGATGCTACAAGTCCAATTTCTTCAGGAGTTTCCCAATATTCTTGAAGAGAAAGATAACTTGCAGCTTTAACTAAATCACATAGGTTTTCGGTAGTAACAGGGGGCTTTATTAATCGACAGCCTTTAAATCGTGGGTTATTATTTAGATGTGTATTTTTTTTAATTTTGCTGTGACTTTGTTTTTTCATTCGTCCTTGTGATACTTGTAATAGCTAACGAAGTTGCTCTGCAGTTATTAGTATATCAAATTCATCTTCTATATCTAGTTCATCAGAATTTTCATTATTGGTTAGTTAACTTGGGCTAAAAGTAAAAAATAAACCCAGATTTTAGGATTTTAATTTACTAATATTTTATAAATTTAAAATCTTGAAGCCTGGTAATATATTTCTAAAAATTAATATTTAATGCCAAGAAAAATTTTTAACATATCTGATAGGTTCAAATAATAATTCAGTGTAATCATTTTCAGTTTGTTCACGAGAAGGTATGAATTTCCTAATAAGCAATCTCATTGTTGGATAAATGAGGTTAAGAGTAGGATAGCTTGAACCAGAAAATATATTTGTAGCCTCGTAAAATGGTTTCAATAATAAGATAAGACTGTCTAACAATCACCATTTATTTTCGGTTAGGTTGATTAATTTCAAATACTCGCTATCAAGTTTGTCACACCATTCCGATTCTGAAGGCAACATCAAAACAAGGTAATCGATCACCTTTCGTAACTCCCTAAGCTGAACCCAAGCTAAATACGAAGAATTCCACCTCATTGGTACATCATTAATGGGTTGGTGAATTTTTGAATATCTATATTTTTCTTGTGCATCTTTAAGTTGTTCAGATTGTTTAGGACTTTGAGAAAAAAAAAGGATTAAATTTTTCGCTCTTTTAATTAATCGTATGGCAGGTTTAAGACCTTTTAGCACACTTAGTTGAAGCATATAAACAGAGCAAGATAATCGAATAACATTGTCCATTAAACTAATCGTCTTTTTAACATTAGCTCCGTTGTCAGTTGTAATGCAAAAAATTCGTCCTGTGAGTCTCCAATCAGTGATAACTTGATTAAGAGAGTCTTCAATAGCTTTGGCTGTGTATAGTGAGGAAAGTAATCAGATTGTTAATAAAGCCTTTTTTAATTTAAAGTTTGAATCAACCCATGTTGCTATCACTCCAATATACCCTTAATTTGTTCTTGAACTCCACATATCTGTTATCAAATTGACGAATCTATTATCAGTATTTATCATACCAAATAATTGATCGCGACTCCAATCATAAGCTTTGTCAATCTTTTTTTTTGCAGTCTGCTTACAAGAAATATGAAATCCTGCTTCTATATGACTTAACAGCTGATGAAAAGCTTGACTACGTAAAATGTGAAGAGGTTGGCAATCTTCAATAATGAATTCGACCAATAGCTGTATTATTTTGTCTTGCTTCCGTTTGCTAATAACATGCATAGCTTTGACAATTGAACCATTACTGCTTGCTTCTTCTGGGTGGTCTCTATCGATTCAGTGCTTAGACCAAAGGTGGCTAAGCATATTTTCTGTTGAAGAGTCATGTGCATACTTAACATCAATGTTTTTTTCTTTGCAGATTTGACAAATATCAAAAGTTCCTTTTTCTGTTGTCTCAACCTCAAAATAATCCTACGCGATACTACAATTGTCACGTTTTTTGTGTTTTTTTTGTTTTATGTGCAGGTGATTCATCAGGTCTAGATAGTTCCTCATGTATATCTGTAATATATGTATCATCATCATCCATATCATTTGATGTTGAAGTTAAAATGCTCATATTGACAAATACGCCTATTAGTTTTATAATAGCGTGGCTATGTTTATTACAATATTCTGAATATAACCCAGTTAATGCTGCAAGCGAAGATGTTTTGTTCAGTTCTTAAAAATATAGATATCTAATGCATGATTTTTATAAAAGTCATAACAGTATAATGTTTTCCAAAAATCAAAAAAAAAAAAAAATCGCTTTTAAAAAGCAAGAGATTTTTATACTATATAAAAAAAAATGTCACCAATTTTTTTCCTGTCTTTAAACTGTATTATTATCGTTATATGTAACTTTATTGTAAACCTTATTTTTAAACTGGTTGATTACTTTATTATATAACTTTATCTTAAATCTTATTTTTAAACTGGTTGGTAATATAAATCGGATTGACTGATTATCTATTTACCAACCAGGTCACCTGTTGTAAAACAGGTCACTTGCTTATTATCGTATTACCTGTTGTAAAACAGATCACCCGTTTATTACCATGTCACCCTGTTTTTTAAAAAATAAACTGGTTAGTAAATTTTACAGGTCAGGTCATCAGGTATATAGTTATCTGGGTTATAGTTTGGATCCCTACTTCTACAACCTACAAAAAACTGCTAATTGAAGAAATTCTAGACCAAAACACATATGATATTCTTGGACTATCTGAAATATATTTAATGATAAAAAAAGACAAATTTCTTAACAATAAAGCTAAAATATATACTAGTCATTAGAGTTCTTATACTAACACACATCAAGCTAGTATTGGCCTTTTTATCTATAACAAAATCTCTAAATATATAGCATATACACAACTATAATAATTACATTATTAGCTTTGACCTTTACTTCAAAAACACTTCCATTAAATTATTACAAATATACATCCCTACTAGAGAAAAAAATATACATTGAAAAGATATTTAAGAGCAAATTATCATACTATGTCAAAATCTAAATTATAAAATCATAATTATGAAAGACTTTAATAGTATTTTAAACTCTGTATCGACCAAATATTCTCCAAAAAGTTATCAATTCCAAAAACCTAACTTATCAAATATCTAATCAGTTACCAATTCAAAGATATCTATTATTTCTTCTTTCCTAATACTCCAAACTTCACAGATTACACAAATATTTTACCAAACGATAATTTTAATTCAGAGCACAATATCATAATATTAGAACTATTAATTATAATCAACAAATCCCAACTACAAAAACAACACAAAAGAAGGAAATTTTTATAAAAAAACTGTACTAAAGAAAATTTAAACAACTATGCAAATCAGACTACACTTAATTTACAAAGCCTCAATTCACAAGTTAATTCAATCTCCAACTAAAATTAACTCAATAATTTCTGAAATAAATTACAAAAAATACTTAATAAGGCTAACGCCAAACATATTTCTTTTCACAAAATTAAAACTATTAAAGAAATTAAAAAAACTATCACAACAAAACAAATGACACTCTTTTATAGATTTAAAGAAATCTAATATCTTAAAAACTACATCTCTTCTACTAATTTTTCTACACTTTGCAAAAAGTATACAACTCAATACTCTGACTATCTCTTCTAAACTAAAATACCTACTCTATTACAAATCAAAGAAGAATTTCAATAAATCAAAACTTCTCTCAATATTCAACAACAACAAAATATTTATAGAAAAATCTAAAAAAAAATTGAAAATCGAAATTAATCTTTTCTAGAAACACCTAAGCTCTTTTATAAAAAAATACTTAAAAGATTTAATAATATTCACATCAATAGACTACTTTTAGAAAGTTTTTTTCTTACAGAATATGAAGAAGTACTTCAAGCAATCTCAATCATTTTTCAAAATATTTTTAAGAAAAGCTTCTTCAACCAATTTATGCTTTTTCTGAGTTCTATCAACTTTATTAACTATATTCTGAACATGAGATACTTTATCAAAATCTATTTTAAAACATTACTAACCAAGAATGGCAAGATATTCTATCAATTTTACCCAACCAAAAAGCAGCTAGACCCTCTGAAATCTGCTATAAATATATTAAATATGCTAGTTTTAAAGCACAAACACTTTTTAGACATTTTTTTTAACAAATGTTTCTAACTCCAAAAAGTTCCTACAGACTAGAAGTCCTCAAACATCTTTCTTATTCTCAAAAATTCTAATTAGGATTTTATTCTCAATTAAGTTTGACCAATATCTATACTTGAACCCTTTAAAAAAACCTTTACTAAAATCTTCATCAAATATCTTAATCAAATTATTTTCACTAATCATCTCTTATCAGACTTTAATTTTGCTGCATCAAAGAATTTATCAATACATATTCTAATACAAATCCTTCATAACACTATTGAATACTATATACCACACAACAAAGAAGCTTGGGGTTTGGGCCCTGTAGCTTATTAGTTAAGCTCCCAAACCCTACAGACAAGGTCAACGGTTCGAGTCAGGCTGGCAGCAAATTTTGAATTTGTTACTGTAACCTTAAGGAGCCAAATCGAATGCGAAGCCCTGTGGAAGTCCACGTGCAAGTACAAAATTGGATTAGGAATTCCCGGAAGGAGACCTTATTATGGAGTGTAGACACTACGTATAGCAGCGGCGTTATAGAAGGTTCAGTTACTAAAGATCACACATATAAGTCCTTGTACGCAGGCAGCACCAACATCCTTGTACTTCCAGTTTAAGCAGCACCAACATCCTTACACC